TTATTTAAAGGACGTAACTTGGGTAAGGTTGGTTACGACACTTATGTGCGAGGTAGGGGCACATAGGATTACTAACCTAATATTAAAATTCTATTTTCGAAGTTTCGACCCATCTAGTATTGCCACCAAAGTTAGGTACGCAATACATTTTAAATAATGGATTATAGATACATTAGTTATTTGCATTTTATATTTATTTATTTATTTTTAATCTTAATTTTTTTTTTTGTAGCAGATATCGATATTAAGATATTGTTTCGGTAGAATTAAAAATCTTAAATGGTAATTTTATAGGCTATGTAATTTTGCATTTTGTTTATAAGTGGAATAGTTTATATAATTTATTTTATGTATCGGTATGCTATAGATGATTTTGATGTAAAGGCTTAGACGAAAACGATATGTAACATTTATTTTGGCCGAGGAACGTTGAGAATTATGATATAAAGAATCAAAATTGAGTCATGTTCAAGTTCTTTATCATTTTTTAAAGTTATTAAAGGACGTAACTTGGGTAAGGTTGGTTACGACACTTATGTGCGAGGTAGGAGCACATAGGATTACTAACCTGATATTAAAATTCATTTCTGACCCAGCTAGTATCGTCACCAAAATTAGGTACGTAATATGTTGCTAAAATTTATTTTTTTGACATTAAACATATTTTAATACATATAATAATAAAGTAATTAAATTGACATTTTTTTAGCTTTATGATATTTTTAAACCGGAAAAATCACGTATATGTATTTTGAGATTGTTGTGAATAATTAATGGCGGCTCAGACGAAACTAGTTCTCTTAGGAAAATGAGTGCATCGTTTTTTTTATAAGTTTATTATTGTTCGTATTTTTCTTTTAAAAATTTTTTAATTCGCAGTATTTCTTATTACGGTGACGAACTTTATAGAAAAACGAACGTTGGGTCACAAGTCAATTTGATGATAGATATGTTGGATTGTCGTAGACAATGGACATGTCGGATGGTTGTAAACGATAGATATGTCAGATGGTTGTGGACGAGAAACGATGGATATGTTGGATGGTTTTGGACGATGGATATTATTAGGTGGTTGTAAATGGTGGATATTTCGGATGGTTGTGGACGATGAATGATGAATATGATAGGTGGTTGTAGATGATGGGTATTTCGAATGTTTGTAGATGAACAATAGGGTTGTAAACGAGAGACGACGGGTATGCTGGATGGTTATAGATGATAGACGAAGGATATGTTGGATGGTTGTGGATGATAAACGATGGATATGTTGGGTGATTGTGGATGATGGATATTTCGGATGGTTGTAGATGATGAACGATTGTTGTGTCGGATGGTTATAGGCGATGGACGATAGATATGTTGGATGGTTGTAGACGAGAAATAATGGATATATTAGATAGATGGACGATGAATATTGCATTTTTTTATATTTATTTAATTTTTAATTTTTTTCAAATTTTTTTTTTATAGTGCCGTAATTAAAACGCACCGTTATGGATATCGATATTAAAGAAAATATTCCGATGGAATTAAAGAGCTTAAATGGTAATTTTGTATTTTATTTATAAGTCGAATAAATAACCTAAATTTTTTTATTTTTTTATATATATTTGCTATAGGTGATTTTCGAAGAAATTGAGAAATTGGTTAGACTTTGATGTAAAGCTTTGATGAAAACGATTTATATAGCATTTATTCCGATTGAGAAGAATCATTGAGATTTATAATATAAGAATAAAGGTGAGCTATGTTTAAGCTTTATAGTTTTTTGAAGTTATTTAAAGGACGTAACTTGGGTAAGGTTGGTTATGACACTTATGTGCGAGGTAGGGACACATAGGATTACTAACCCAATATAAAACTCTATTTTTCAAAATTTCGATCCGTCTAGTATCACCACCAAAATCAGGTATGCAATACGTTTTAAATAATAGATTATAGATACATTAGTTATCTGCATTTTATATTTATTTATTTATTTTAATCTTAATTTTTTTTTTTTTTGTAGCGGATATCGATATTAAGATATTATTTTGATAGAATTAAAAAGCTTAAATGGTAATTTTATAGACTATGTAATTTTGCATTTTGTTTATAAGTGGAATAGACTATATAATTTATTTTATGTATTGGTATGCTATAGGTGATTTTGATGTAAAGGCTTAGACAAAACGATAAATAACATTTATTTTGGCCGAGAAACGTTGAGAATTATGATATAAAGAATAAAGGTGAGTTATGTTTAAGCTTCTCTATAGTCTTTTAAAGTTATTAAAGAACGTAATTTGGGTAAGGTTGGTTACGACACTTATGTGCGAGGTAGGGGCACATAGGATTACTAACCTAATATTAAATTTCTATTTTCAAAATTTCGACCCATCTAGTATTGCCACCAAAATCAGGTACGCAATACATTTTAAATAATGAATTATAGATACATTAGTTATTTGCATTTTATATTTATTTATTTATTTTTAATTTTAATTTTTTTTTTTTTTGTAGCGGATATCGATATTAAGATATTATTTCGATAGAATTAAAAATCTTAAATGGTAATTTTATAGGCTATGTAATTTTGCATTTTGTTTATAAGTGAAATAGATAATATAATTTTTTTTTATATATCGGTATGCTATAGACGATTTTGATGTAAAGGCTTAGACGACAACGATATATAACATTTATTTTGGCTGAGAAACGTTGAAAATTATGATATAAAGAATAAAAGTGAGTTATGTTTAAGCTTTTATATAGTTTTTTAAAGTTATTTAAAGGACGTAACTTGGATAAGGTTGGTTACAACACTTATGTGCGAGGTAGGGCCACATAGGATTCTAACCTAATATTAATATCTTATTTTCCGAAATTCTGACCCACCAAGTATCGACAGCAAAATTAGGTATGTGACATTAAACATTAAATAAATTCAATATATGACGATATTTTGATTAATAATAATACTGTATTTTATATACTAAAGTAATTTATATTGATTTTTTTTTTTTATCTCCACACAATATTTTTAAAACAGAAAGAACATGCATACGTATCTCGAGATTACTGTGGATATTATTCAAATAATTAACGAAGAGAGCGGCGCAGACAAAACTAATTCTTTTAAAAAGATAAGTAGATCGTTTTTTTTATAAGTTTATTATCGTTTGTATTTTTCTTTAAAAATTTTTAATTCGCAATATTCTCTTATTACGGAAATGAACAAGTTAATTTAACGATGGATACGTTGGATAGTTGTGGACGAGGGGTTGGATGGTTGTAGACGGTGGACGATGAATATGTTGGATGGTTGTGAACGATGGGTGGTTGTAGATGACGGATGGTCGAGACTATAATTGTTTGGCGAACCTGTTTTTCACAAATGGCGAAACACGAAACCTAAACCCGAAACTGGCGAACTTCGGCGAATGGCGAAACCCCCAGAGAAAGACGAAGTCCATGCTCTTAGCAAGTTTAAATTCTCTAAGGCTTTGGAAAAACTGAGCCTTGTTTGAGAATGAAATATTGTTTGTGTCTATTAAGCATTGCATGTGCGCATATATCTTAAATAAAAAATATACGTACGTATTGGGATGGTAATTCAACTAAGTAAATCAAAGCTATGTGAGCAAACTATGAAATTTGATATAATACAGATTTTTATGTTACACGAGTGAAAATAAATTTAATGTCTATTAAGATTAATTGTATGCTATATATATTTATTAAAATTAATAATTTTAAAACGACGCAGCTTATTGAAATCCCAAATAATTACCTTGAAATTTTCTCAAGTAACTTATTAAATGTTAAAGAATGAAGTTACGCTTTCGGATTTTTTATTAACATATAAATTTCTTATAAATAAAGTATTGTAAAAAAAAATTAGAA